GAGTGAAATAGCTTGGGACTGCTTGGGACCGTTGTTCTGGTACTGAGTGAGCCAAAAATAATAATGATTTTCTTCGGGACCCAGTGGTCTTAGAGTTACCTCTATGTTGTGGAGGTGATGATTTGGCCAGGTTCGTGTGGGTTCACCCCCACTGGTTGGATCCAATATCCGATACGTTACCGCCCGTTAGCGAGCACGAGGGACGTCGGACCGAAGACACGCACCACGTGAAATCGAGTCAGCCCGTAACCTCGAAGCCGATTCGCTGTCGAAGAAGAACAAGAAGAAGAAGTTATCGGCGAGTCTCGTGCTGGTGGTGGACGAGCGTCGTACTATTGCCATACCACACACGTCGGGTGAGTGGTAGCCGAAGCCTTGGAGGTGAGGGTCTAGTGAGGTCTGGCGGGTCCGCCCTCGCTTGCTAGTCCCCAATATCCGATGTGCTACCGCCCCGGAAGCGAGCACGAGGAACGTCGACAGGAGTACCTGTTGAAATTCAATTTTCATTTATAGTATAGATTCTATTCTTTTACTCGGGTTGTCTCTTTCACAACCATAAGCAGATTCAATGTTCTCTCATTAGAGCCATTTCGCTCTCGCTAGCTCAGGTCTCTATTAAGTGTTTCCGAAGCTGAATGAGCCTAGCGTAATCTGTATATTAGTTATCGATAGATCAACTTGTTATCAGATAATTAGTAGGGGAATCATAACATATCAATGTAACCTTTATGCAGTACTGAATTCTTATTAAATAAATAGTTTTATTGATGGTCTAAGAATTCTGTGTACGTTTTTGTTTTCCGAGAGGTAATGTTTATCTTCGGAAATTGCATGAGAGAAACCCTTTTTGATTCTTCAGCTGGGTTGGAGGAAGTCAGGCTTATCTGACTCTTTCCTCGTCCACTCTGGTTGGCTGTCATACTTGGAGGAAGTTTTTCCTCAAGTACTGTTACGGCTCTCCACTTGCGTTCGAACTTCCAACAGTACCAGCATCGGACCAGATCCCGGAAACCCAGCAGAACCACCAGCCCGCTAAGGTAACGCCAAGCTCTCTCTCTTTCAGCATGCATGCTTAAAAAAACACCACGGCCGCAACGAACCCCCCCCCCCCCCCCCCTTAACAATATGTATCTTTTGTTAAATAAAAAAATGTAAATCAGACAATTTATTGTGTTTGTGCCACTATCCCTCAATAAGAAGTCCCTGCATGTAGTCCGACTGTGTGTTTGTTGTCCCCTTCGATTTTTAAACGGGTTGTGAGTCTACCGAACAGGAAGCCGGCCTTGAGAAACAGGTAAGAGTACCCGGTTTGAGCTAGCCGCTACTTACAATGTTCAGAATTCGTGAGCTGGTAATAACTGCCCTTTCGCATACGTCACGCTAGGCATAGACAATTGTTTACGGTGCACGGAACTCTGGAACTGTCCATTCACAGATTTTAAAAAAAAATTAGGAGACCTTATCGAAACTTCGACTGACTAAAGGTCAAGAAGGTCACGAAACTTATGAGAAGTGCATGGAACATCCGGAAAGTAACGGATCATCATGGATTCATAGAGAGCCTTCTGTACTTTTTGGAACTTCCAAGAAGTTTTCCTAACCTTGAACCGATCGTGCACGTAACTTCTGAGACGTAGGGGAAATGGATGTTATGTCGGCCTAAATGCCTCTAATTTGGGCCCATACAAAAATTCAGCAATCGACTAAATTTTCAATAGCGATCAAAATGTGCATAAGTACCGTCCCAATGACGCGTTCATCTAGATAAAATTGATAAATAGCAGATTTTTAGCGATAGGCCCTATCTTAGATCCATAGACCAACATTTGAGCCATCTCCCCTATATGGAATTTTCGACAAGATCCAGGAACTCCAGGTCAAATTCTGACGATTCTTGATGAGTTTTGAAGAGTAGCTCGTTCCGCAGCAACATGACACTGGCTTTTATTTTCTATGTCGAACGCGACATAAGTGAGAGGAAAGTTATAGGTATTATTCTGACCGTCTTCTCACCTCACGTCCTCAGGTTTGTTTTGTGGAACGCCAGCTAGCAGTGCGATACTTGATACGACAGAATTTAAACTCCTTGCAAATAATCCCGGACGGAAACCATCCCGATGTTTGTCGTTTCATTTGACAAGTCTTCTGCTCGATTGGAATGACTTTTCTTATGACTTTGACAGACAATCGATTGTTCCAATTTTGACATGTCGTCTCTTTAGTCTGAACAAGACATTATTCTCTATGGCTTGTTTACGTTTGTAACCAGTTATGCGAGGTAGGCGACGATTATTCGTATTTGACAGCAACATCCCCCCCTTGCATTGGCGTTGACTCTTCCAGTGAAATTTGCTCTTCCAGTTTCTTATGGGTTAGGTTAGGTTATCTTTATTAGTGTGACTTTCAGCCAGATGCTGGTTCATTCTTTCTTACGGGAATTTTCGGAGGAGTGAACGGATAGTGCAAAGTCCACCATGTTGGCCATGTTTCACGCACAGTCTGGCGTTTGCTTATGGATTTTCTCATAAAGGTACAGAGCTACAGAGTCGCCGTCTACACCAATTTCCAGCTATTTTCATCACACAGTTCGTTGCAAGGAACTGAACATTGCATTAGGTTGCATTGATCGATTCTCTTAGTCGACTTTCTCTTTAGTAAATAACTTGAGCACATAACCGTTTCTTGTTGTGTTTGTCGTATTAGATGCAAGATAAAAGCTTATTTTATCGATCTGTGTACTGAAAATACCTGGAAATGTCTTAAAATGGCCGTGGAGATACAAAGAAAAAATCGACGAATAGAATCTGTAAATGTTACTTAGGACCTTATGTAATGTTCTGCTTGAAACGGGATGCTTGGATTTATAAAAACTTTTTGAAATTGTTCACATACTTTGACACTGAAGTGTCGAAAGGAAAGTATTTCAGAATGTTTTTGACATACATATATCCATCGCATCCTTGTGTACCTTTTCCTTGGAGCTCTCCCGACCTGTTTATAGATTGTCACCCATAATGGGATTTTTACATATAAGCTAGTTCGCTAGCTCAAACAACCAATTTCAGTTGTTCCTGTAATCTCGTGCTGGTTGCACACCAGCACAAGTGTAAACACCCCATAACCTCGAGTAAGCCGCGAGTAACCCCTCTTGTACTAACTGTAGTATCAACAAACATTTAAAAAGTAAAATGAATTTCGGCTCCGTAAAGCTTCCGCATTTGAGCCTTTACCAATAAATGATTGATTAAACAAAGTGCTTGCCACATAGCTAAGTACTAGGGTGGACACTGGAATCTACAGGTTGAGCTGCGAATATGGTAAAATCATGAAACTAGGCAAAGTTTCATCCTTCCAAATCGATACGGCTGTCCTCCATGCTGAGTGAACCCCCACATACCGTGACTGTCTCGACATTTTTAGGGGACAATGGGTGGCCTCGTCAGATTTTTATTTGAAAAATTAATATAGAAAATTCTGTGTAAAATTAAAACCGCTGGCGCAAAAATAAAGTTCCACCAACCGACCTGAAATTTTACACAGTTATACTGGGACCCAAAAGGTCCCCGGAAATCATACTGGAACGAGACATATTTTTTTCATTTATCCGTGTCCCAGCCTACTAAGTACGGTTTGTCTTATTTCAGTTGTGTCAGAGAGAGAATTCTCTGTGTTTGTAAATTTCTCGAATACAAGTTTCATGTGCTTTTCATTACCAACGATACAGACAAAACGCTTGCTACGACTATCACGACAAACTCTCACTGCAACACAGCTCGATCGGAGTGGTAGAATGATAATGATACATATATTGCTTGCCTGCTTTGTTGCAATGTACACGAATGAGGACATAGCTTGATCTGAATCGAGAAAAGACATAACAAAAAAACTCCCATTAACACACGTGTATCATCTTCGGCTTTACTTCGTGAATCAGCTTGCCAACAATTTGCTCGTTTCCTTCTACCGCCCCGAGTGAGCTGTGTCGCACGGGCTGCTTGTCATGAAGAAAGAAGATTATATCATTATTGCTTTCCACTTCTGACATAGCGTTATCATTCGGTTCGTTGATCGCTTGTCATTTGGTCACTTGGAGATATTTTTGATTCTTTGCTTAGAATACGAGATTGTACACACATAATTTTTTAGTAAAAATAATTCATTTTGACCTTGCGACCTTCAGCATGAGAGACATAGACGATACCCGAGCAAAGCTGGAGATCAAATTGAAATCAAAATTTGCTGTTATGATGTAACTTATTTTGAATAATCCAGTTGATCTCATTTTGGTTGACTTAACGGTTAACACAGCAAAAATGAAAGCAAACTTTTACACTGTTGAATCAAACGGAACACTAATCTTGCTTTCAATGAAATCAATTTGATGTCTGATTTTGCATTCATAATGTTTAACTGAATACGGACCTGGCGTAAATCGTAAGCTTCCATGCTTCTCACGCTGAAAGAATTGAGCTCAAGTCTCACCCCGGGAAAATAACGAATGATCTAAAATGTGTTAGAACTAAAAGCGTTAGTTCAACGACAGATGAGCTTAAATTAAAGTTTAAACAAGACGTTAACAACAGAACTTCAAGTTAAGTTGCTTTCATTTAAAAAGTCTTGACTGCATAGTGAAAACACAATATGATATCAGACTAATGTTGTGACAATTGAAATCAAAATTAGTTTTCATTATGATAGGAACTGCTTTCATTTTGTTAACCGACTTTGCTCGGGTAGCCACTACTGGCCAGTTTCCAATACATACATGATTTTATCCACTAACTTTCTCAAAATCCTTTGGTATAATTAACCAGTACTGAATCTCTCAGTACCAAAATACCGGCACTCGCAAAAAGGGTCCGGTACTGACATACTATTATACGAATACAAAAAAAATCCGGCTTAGAAAGTTCTTAGTTGACAACTTAGGTACCTAACGTATCTAGAAATGCAAGTTTATGCAACAACAGGAAATTGTGATCCACATCAATCCGATCATCTTCTGCAAACAATAACTTTATTGTTCTGAGCATACTAAGCCACTGGATAACATAAATTAGCTACACATATAAAGTACAATAACTGGAATGTCCTCAATCACACCAAAATGTAACTTATATAGTCCATTTCGAATAAAATAACCCTATTTAAAAACAAAAAAATGCCACATTAGTCTGTCTGAACCGAAAAGTTTACAACTTTGAAACAAGATTGCCATGCTGCTCCTCCCCATCCGGATGGCCGTGGTCCGGTTGCAGTTCCGGCAGGAAATTCCCGACGGCAAAGATGTTCTTCGGGTCCAGTTCCTGCTTGGTGGCTCGATAGAGATTGACGCCCACCTCGGACACGGTTTGCGGGTACCAGCGGGCTCGAATCTTCCCCACACCGTGGTGGTGCGAGATCGATCCACCGGATGCGAGGATTTCGTCCCGGGCATGGGCTTCGATGGTTTCGTAGATGTCCACCGGATTGGAGAAGCCCGTGTGGTTAAATCCGAAGTAGAAGTACACACATGCACCGGCGTCATACGATTGTGTCACCCGGCAGGAAATGAGGGAGTATTTGATGCTGTATTTGGCACATTCCTGCAAAGAGTGAATTATAATAATGTTAGTAATAGTTACGCTTATACGCAAATTATTTGAGTCAATTTAAAGTAAACACACTGTAGTCTTTTTTAATACCTTATTTTTTTATATTCTTCTAAAGTTTCACTTATGGAATACTAAAAAGAAGACTTTTAATTAAAGAAAAAAAAATCAATCTGCATTGAAAAAAAAAACTGGCAAAAAAGTGCATAGGGGAAATGACGGCTTCGGCATGACAGACTATTTTCGGCAACCCAAATTGAAACACTATTTTCACTGGATTTTCTTACGAAAACACTTCGCTGAATGCATGCAAACGATTCTTTATGCTTTCAGCTTCAATTTGACTATATTTTTACCACTGAGAAAAAGCAATCTAGCAGGGTTTTCTTGAAATGAAACACACGCACTACAAATTGTAGCTGATTTCGAGTTGCCGATAATAGAACAGCAGATTTACATGCAGTTCAAATGGAATGGTTGCCGAAGAAAAACTGGTTGCCGACAATACTCGCTCTCACTAGAGAAAATTGGAGTTTTGTAAAAGCGTTTCAAACCAGTTTTTGACAATTCTTTCGACTGAAATTGTTAGAGCAGCTGGCAGCAAAAGATTGTAAACAAACCTATACTGCATATGTGTGCGTTCCTTAGAGAAAAAGGCTATAGAAAGAAGGTCGCTGCTTAGGTTGCCGAGAATACGTAAATTCCCCTACTTCAAAAATGTTTTCTATAAATTTCCATCGGAAAACAGCTCGAGGTGCAGATCAGGTGAGGAGTTTCAGGAGCGCCACATCCAAGGCACGCATGGAAGAGAAAATGTGATGGTCTGGGGGTGTTTTTCGAGGGGTGGAGTGGGAAGCCTCGTGAAAATCGACGGGATAATGACGCAGATTCCTACATCAACATCCTGTGGGAAAATCTGGAGGTTTCACTAATCCAGACGGGCCTTGAAGAGAAGTTCGTATTTCAGCAGGACAACGACCCGAAGCATACTGCCAAGAAGACCAAGAGTTTTAATAGTACTCATGCGTTTTGATAATCTTTTGAGTGATTTTCGACCATTTTTGCATATATATTTTTTTTTGTGAAAATGTTCCCGCATTTTCCTGAAACATTCGGAACTTTGCTAAAGTTACCGTAAATTCCCTGAATTACTCAAAACTTCATTGGAAGTTCTGTATTTTCATTGAAGTTAATTGAACTGCCCTGAGGTTATTTTATCTTCTCTGTTGTTCTCGGAGGTATTTTCCTTGGTTTGTTTTCCGTCGATCTTGTTTTCCGTGCTGAGCACCAATACCGACGCCAGGGAGGCAGCTCCTACACCTGGACCCTACCTATCGACCGAACAACTCATGAACCAGGGACCAACGGCTTTACTTCCATTCCGAAGGAAGGCGTGATCAGAGAGAGGATTTTAAAATCGACGTTGAGCAGGCTGATCGGACGGGTATGCTCTTGCTGTCCCATCCCCACCTCGCTTTTTAACCAACACAATAGTGCCATCGGCGAATTCAGATGGGAGCTCATTCGTCATAGCTTCATTAATAACGAAGTAGAGCTCTCGAGAGATGACGTCGAAAGTTCGTAGGTAGAATCATCTAGAACTCTACCGGCAAACCATCGATCCCCGATGATTTACGTTTTTGCGACGTTCGGATGGAGTTTTTCAATTCGTCAATGCTGATCTCTGCCATTAGAGCTGCGTTGACTTCGTCGTTCTCGGGTACGGCTCTCTCAGTTTCGAACATTTCTTCCCCCACCTGCCTCGTCTCTTCCACCGCATACAGGTCCCGGAAGTATCGAAACATGTGTTGCTCAATCTCCAGAGAGCTTTGTATTTGCTCTCCTCGTTCATTCCGCAGTCCTTCTTCTTTCCTTTATTTAACGTCGGTCTCTGTTCCGCAATCTAGTGCCAATCACCGACGGACATCGATTGCCATCCATTGACGGCAATCGAATGTGCAGGAAGGCAGCTTCCACACCTGCGTAGGATATCGCACCCATTAAATTCAACACACATGGGCCGGGACCAACGGCTTTACTTCCCTTCCGAAGGAAGACGTGACCAGAGATTTTTATGCCACAGAAAAATCCCACCGACCTCGGCTGGGATTGAACCCAGACACATTGGGGTGAAAAGGCAGTCACGCTTACCACTACACCACCGGCGCCCGCTGATCTGCAGTCCTGTTTTTTTACGTCGTCCATCACCCAAAGTGGATATTTATGCTCTCGCCGGCTATAAACGTCTCGTTGATGCGGATGAAGTTTTGCGCAAACTGCCGCTGCAACGTGAGCATTCGTGCTTTTACGCGGTTGATGATCACCAACATGGTGGGATTCTGGTAATAGCCATCATATGCGAGTCGTAATTGCTCGTAGAGTCGTTGATGTTCTGCGTTGAAAGTCCTGAAAACTTCACTTGACTTCCATCGGAAAAAAGATTTTATTTTTGGCTTCGCGCATGAGAGCCACCATGTCATCCAGCTGGGGAAATTTCTCCGTTGGCGGGTCCAAAACTGCCATCGCACTTGGAATTCCTCTAAGTTCTCGGCGGTTAAGAGGTGAGGGCGGAGGGACCAGAAACCGCGTCCTTGTTCGCGGCCAAGGTGGGGAAGGCAAATGCACGCTGTTAGCGCTTTGTGATCCGTGAATAAGCATACGTGCGTGGCAGCACTCCGCAGATGCTCGCAAAGCCCAGTGCTGACATACATGCGGTCGAGCCTGGATGCCGCATTGTGTGTGATGTACGTGGGTGCGGGGGTTGTAGGGTACAATTTCAGCCACAGGTCGTGAAGCTGTAGCTGCCGTACGGTCGCTTGGAGAGCCGGGCTTGTGTTGGAACTCGTTGAGTCGCTCGAACGTAGCACGCAGTTAAAATCTCCAGCGAGGATGACGTTTTGAGTGTTGTATCGAAGGTAGTACGCGATCGTGCCGTTGAAAAATCTTTCTCTTTCCGCACGAACAACTGTCCCCGATGGCGCATATACGTTGCAGAGCGTCGTGTTTTGCACCCTCAAAGCGATGAGACGACCATCCAGGCGCTTTTCCACATGCGAGAATTGTATGTGGTCTTTCAGCGCGATTGCCGTTCCCCGCCTTGCTTGGTCCACATTGCAGATAACGTTGAGGCCAGGGATAGAGAGTTGCTCATTCTCCACCTCCTGGAGGAAAACGATATCCAGCTCCAGCGTTCGTACAAAGGTTTGAAGAGCGTCAATCTTCGTTACGTTCATAATATTGTTGATGTTGATGGTGGCGAGGTTGTAACTGGAGAACTCAGCCATTAGGACGGTTGGTTACTCCCATCTCGCTTGTCGTCGCAGTCGTCATCCACACGAGGCTTCTTGCCTGGTGGTCGAGTGCGGAGGTGTCTTCTGGAGCTGGATGACCCTACAGACGAATCTGTTTCGTTTCCATCGGACTTACCACTAGCAGTTTTGCGATCCACTCCGCCGCTAGCGGGGGGTTGTTGACTTGTAAAGGGAGTCAACGACCCGCTGTCCGATGGGGCAATCGAAGCCGAGGTAGGAGCTAACGTGGGGAAATTCTGTTCGTTCAGAACTGGTGGTGGTAACAGCGTCTGTTGTTGACGTTGGGGAATTTGTTTCGGTGGTGGCATGGTAACAGCTTTGGCCGAGATTGGTTCGAACCTAGGCCGGGAAGCTTGGTTCGAGGTCGTTTTAGTTAGGTTCGCATTGGGAGCGGTTTGGTTTGAGTTTGTGTTGGTTTGGTTCGCACTATAGTCGACTTGACTCGTTTTTTGCGACGGCGTCTGCTTTGCGGCATCGGCGTATGATTTTTGCACGAGCAGTTTTTTATTTTGCACGCAAGTAGCCCCGATGTGCATGTATTCGCGGCAGTATCGGCATGTTTGTAGCTGCCCGAAATACGATACATTCATCTCTTCGCCGTCGATCGTGACCCACGACTCGATGTTTCGTTTCACCGTCATTTTTGCTATACGAACGCCGGTCGAAATGCCAGGGAAATCGATATCGGTTTCGCATCATTATTCTCGTATTGCGATTACGTCACCGTATCTTCCTAGAAAATCAGTGATTTTTTGATCCGACACGTCCTCGGACCAGAGCTGGTAAATATCACCGCCGTCATGAGAGAATGAGAAAACAGGTCCTCTCACTATCACGAGACGAAACTACCTATCATTCGTTTTCTTGTCATTTTCCAATGATCAAGCACTTATGAGAATAATTCTATTACGGTTTTTACATCTACATTAATTTCAATTAATTAATTAATTCAAGCATGTAACCGTATGTTATCGGTAGAGTGAATATATTGTTACGATTTTTTCGGTACAAGTAACTTTAAAAGTAATAAATGAGCTAGTAATTACGATAATCACAACACTGTCACGTTTTGTCATGACGAAAACTTCGATGAGATTTTGAAGAAAATCTCTATCATCGTTTTCTCATCTGATGATAGTGACAGGAGTATCTCTGTAAATATCGCGTGAGATCTTTCATTGAAAATGAAATTTGCCAGCCCTGCCTCGGACAAATCGTAGAGCCTCACCTCCACTGCTCCCTCCTCCAGTGTGATTTTCAACGGATATTTTTTCCCGTCGACCGTAATTTCGTGTTTGTTGTCGTGTTCCTCACAGATTCGTTGCGCCAACGCTAGGTCGACAACTTTCACGAAAGAAACTCCGAGGGTTCTGCTGTTTTGAATCCGTAGCACTTCACCTTGCTTCAGACCCAATATGTTCGCACAGAATTTGTGAACTTTAGCGCCCATTACATATGTCAATATATTGACAAACATCGTATTGTCAATTTTCCTTACAATATAATCAATATATAAATATTGACAACATTAATGACAATACACTAAAGCGTTTGTTACTCAGGTCAATATATTGACAAAAAATTGACATACTGACAATATTATTGAAAGATAATATTGATGACGATGGTTTGATGACGAGTATTGTTGAAAACTGATTTTCATTTCACTTTCTCAATATTCTT